GCTTGTAGGGTTCAGGGGATGTCGTAGTCGAGCAGTCTCGACTAGAGCTTTCTTATTTGTTTAGATAGCTGACTCTTGTTAGTCGGGTTAAGGCACTTCTTATCGGAGTGTTAGAGGTGTCTTGGCGATTCTCATGCAAAGTACAGCGATATAAAATGTGTGATGGACAGAAAATTGATATATAAATCCTTTATAAAAATATCTATATAAATATACCTATCTAAAAATATGCAATAACTTATAATCGGTGATTCCAGTTTACATAGGAAACACACTCTTACTTACTTAAATTGCACAACAAATCCGTTTATTTTAGGTGTTAAGTCTGTGGATAAGCGCGATGGAGCTGGGGCACACAATTGGGGATCTGCAAAGCAGGATATTGAAGAACTGAAATCAGCCACTGTAGCTCCTGTTGTAGACAAAGAAGACTCTGCAAATGAACAGTCTGGCGAACCTACTAATACTTTGGAAGAAGATGAGTCAAAGCTAATGACTCTTGATGAATGGAAGGCTCTTAAGGATCAGCGTGCTAAGCCTAATTTCAATTTGCGGAAAGCTGGTGAAGGCGTCGATAATTCAGAATGGAAAAAAATGACTGTCTTAAACAAAAAAAAGACAACAGATATTGAAGATGAGTTAGAGTACGACCCATCAATGTATCCCCAGCGCGTTGGTCGTATACAACGTATTGTAGACATACAGTTTAATTTTAATGATGGGCGAAAATCTGGCTTTCGGAAAGGACCACGAGCACCAGCGCGCGGTGGTCATCGGGAAGAATCGGTGCTCAACGCTGGATTCGAAAAAATTCCGTCATATAAATCTGCAAAACAACAACGCAGTGGATCAAAAAATTTAAAAGTGGATGATGAAAGTCAATTTCCAACTCTTTCTTGAAACTCAAATCAAGCAAATCCAATTTTACGCAGTTATTGAGGGTCATTCATTTTTCCTTAAATATATAAATGTACTTTACTAAACAAATCAATATTGTTAACCCATATCATAGAAGTTATATAAATTGGGTTTGAATTATTCACGGCAGTAATGATCAACAGGCTATTGGAAATAGTTTAGTGTTGGAACAACTATACTTATTTTTTATACTTAAGATCCCGGTATTCACATGAGGTTTAAACCATATTACAATTATATGAATGCTATGAAAAGAAAATACAAAATCTTGTATGAACGAGAAAATGGACAATTTGAATTCAATAAAAAATTCAAGTTCATCTTCTAAAAAAAAAAAAAAAAAAAAAACGGAGCTTAATTTTAACATTTACGAATAAATTGAATACTCCAATTCAGTGAATTTTAGGTAATTTCAGAATTATGATAGTTCAATCATAAACGTCGTGTAAATATGTAAAAAAAAAAAAAGAAGCTATAACCACTCTTGAATTTTTTATTTATTTATTGAAAAGGTATTGACAAAACTGGAGTCACCTAAAACTATAGTTAAATAGTCTACAAAACGACAAAATTATTACAATAGTATCTCCAACCCGATGGGGGTATTTTATTAGCCAGTCCGGCCTTACACCCAAATATGGCCAATGATACTTTTGAATTTTTGAAAAGAAAATGAAAACTTAAATGAAAGAGCTTAAATTTAGTTAATATAATAACACATAATAATTCTCAAGGTAAAAATTAGTAAGGAAAGAGGAAAGTATTGCAAATATTGCGTGAATAGTGAAAAGAACAAAGAATTTGAAAAACAACTAAAAAGTAGAGCTCGCAAATGAGAGATGACACTTTTTCGTTGCTGCAAATAAGTGTCTCACTCACACAATAAAAGACTCAGATAGAAACTGATATTGTCGCGTCTGGCTTAGCTCGTTCGTTCTCTGAGCGAGACAGTTATTTCTGGTTTCGTATCGCTCAAGTCAAACACTGATCGTTTGCTTGAGTTAAATGAAGCAAACTGTCTTTTGCAAACTAATTTCTGTTGAGTTTTTTAGTCAAACTGTCTTTTGCTGAGTCTTTGGGTGAGAGAAAATCGTATCAGTCTTTACATTATTAGTCACTAGCTGGCCCGGCAAACGTTGCATTACCCTATCCATTATTTCTATTGTTCAGGTTGGGATACACTCTGATTAATTTATTAATCGGATTTTC